TTTTTGCTCTCCAGTTGTTGATGTTCCAATGGCATGAGAGCTGAGTACTTTTTACATCAATGAGGACCTATGCAATTAAGACATAATACAATATGTGACACATTTGTTGAGAGTTCTGAGTCTATAATAAGACCAGGTCATTGACTTTATTTATAAAAAAAATTAAATAAAAAAAAAGTGTTACTATGGGAAGCTATAGGCTTCAGACATGGGTTTGTAAAAGGGCATAAAGACATCAAAAGGGCAACCAGACCCCCTGTCGATACCCTGTACTAAAGTTGATACCTTCAGTATATTTCAAACATCAAAGGGGGGTACTTAATAGCAGGGGGAGGGGCAAGAGACCCCTCATTTCCTTTTATTAAGATTTGATTTATACTCCCAAAATGGCTCCATGTCACACTTCACTAACTGTATTTCATTTCTTGGCAGAGTCAAGCAACGGATCAGTTATGCGTCAAGGGTACTCAAATGGTAGATCAAATCTTCATCTATATTTCCATGATGGGGTTTCGGCTGTGGATAAAAAATGATCGGGTCCAGAGAAAGGCCCTATGGGTCAATGGGAGGGACAATGGCTTTGTCTATGCCCTTGGACGTCAAAATGTAAATGGGGTGGCTGTCCATGCCTCAGTCCTTTTCAATATGCCTTTCCCTTTGGCTGTTGAAAAATATCCTTATCTATAAGAAGCAGGTGATAGATTTAGACCAGCATGTCTCTACAGTGCTGTGCTCCCATCTACTCTATTGATATCTCACATCCACTAAGCAATCCAAGCTACAGGAAAAAAAAGTACCCACACCCTCTGGGTCTCATAGCCCCAAATCATGTTGGCTCTACTTCCTGTAGGATCACCTCTGGGGTCGCGGCAATGAATAACATCTATCAACGCCCTGAAGTGGAAGCCAGTAGCTTCTGGAGGCAAAAGGCTTTAGTCCTTAGCTCAGAGAGCCTACTGCAACAGTCCCTATCTGATATGTGACACAAGCTTGCACATGTGTGCGTGTGAAACAGTATAGGAGAACAACTGCTGGAGAGGTTGAGAGACAACAAGAGAGAGATAAAGCGATGGGTACAACATATGTGTGAGCAAATTAATTGCTAAGGGAATTGCGATCACTATCGCATCCTGTGATGTAATTTAAGAAACAAATGGGTGATTTGCCACCAGATCAGGGGAAAGATGAGAAAATAGCTGCCAGGCTGAACATAGTATGGCCGTCTACATCAGGGTGATGTGGATAACAAACACATAAGAAATAAGTATTAAAAGATCATATAAGTCAAAAAAGGGGTTAGGGAATGTAAGAGAACCAGAGGCCATTCTTTATCGTTGCCACCGTCTCCTTCTTACAGACACTTCCCTTTAGTCTTTTCATCTGCCTCCTTGCACATGTATCCCCTTTCTTCCCTTTAAAATTTCATGAGAGAAAATAGGTAATTTAATCTTCATTAAACTTACAGGGGGCCCACTCTCTGGCCTGACCGGCTGAATTAACTGCGAGGCCTCGGGGGATTAGACAGTTGGGCTGAAATTCCGTAACCCTGACAAGCATTATATCATCGCATCTCTATTTTTTAATGGGAACGAGATGATCCCTCCCTCTTCAATGTCAAATAAGTCCTTAAGAGGCTTACTACACAGGAGGGAACTTTTGATGGACTGACTTGTGAAGGTGAAGAGAGTAGGGCAGAGGAAAGGAGATAGGTCCTGTTTTGGGATTGTAATGACGTTGAAAAGGCAGTAAATAAATAAGATTAGCTTGGTCCTCTTTGAAATCTGATTGATGTGTCTTTTGGGATGCCCCCCATGAAAGACCTACTGAGTCTGTGGCTTTCATCCCTGACCGAAAATCGATGAGCCAGGATGTATGAGAAGCTCCTGCCCTCTACCCACCAATCTCTTGCAGGAAACCCAGGTAACTGTCTCACAATAAAGAGTATCATTTATTTACTATCGCTATTCAAGTAGAGCTTTGACATATAAAGTGCACTGTCTTCAAAAAAATATACAGTGTTCAACCAACATGATTCAACACCACTGAGTACTTGATAGATTATCTTCCTGAAATGAGACTGAACCCACAACATAAATGCTTTTCTGGTCTCCATCAATCCATCCAGCTTCTGTGTGTTGAATTAGGACTGGCTGGTGTAATTGCATAACACATGAGTATGGCCTCCCGGGTTAGGTTTTCCATCTTACACAAAGTGGAGACAAGGAAATGGGAAATGCTTCCGGAATTGGCTGTAATTGTGACTGGCGGCGCCTTGAATTGTGTTCTGTCTGACACATGAGGTAGTCTACGGCAGTATAGTTTAGCCCTAAGGACGACAAAAACTACACGCCAGGTTTAAATGAACTCCTTTGACGTAAGTGGAGATTCTTGTGAGTGACTCTCTCTGGTGCCCGCTGCTCGTTTGAGGATGACAGAAGGTTAATCAAGCTTTAAAGCATGAGATTACAACAGACATGACAAGCAGGATAGAATAGATTTGGCACACTGTCTGATACAACTACTCGAGGAACCTTCTCCACTAATAAATGCAGGGACTGAAAAACTGTCATTCTGCACGTCAGGGAGAAAGCAAATATGTACCCAAAAAAGAACACAAACATGATTGCTGCTGTACTGATCCGAAAGTCAAAACTTAATTCGGTAAATACTGACTAGACCTTGTTTCTCCATTTACAAAAGAAAGTTTTTAGTGGCGGGAATGTCTTTTGTTACCAAATTGCCCGTCGCTGGGGAACTTAAATGTTTACTTTACAGTCCCTTAAAAAACTGCCTTTACCTCAAACTGTGTCTAATGGTTTTTGATTGTCCCTCCGCAACTTTTCTAAATCTGATCTGGAAACGAGTTCAATCGCTATAGAGCGTAGGGGGAATATGTTTCATCTCATGAAAGGGGATAAATCTTTAGGCACATATTCCCCCTATGCTGTATAGCAACTGAACTTATTTCCACATTCCATTAAAAAAGAAAATCCATTGAGCCTGCATGTCAAAAGGATTTCCCCCTCTCATCACCTCAGAGTAGAGCATCCATGCAGCTGTTTATCAAACCATACTTTAGGTTCCATATCAGTAAACAGGGACCCACAGTGAATAATACATTTTGGTAGCATAGTGATGTGTACTAGCAGAAAAAGTGCACTGGGAAGGGGCTGATGCAGGGAGAGAGCCATCATGAGAAGCACAGTCTAACAAGGATAATAAACTAGGTTGCAGTCATACAGAATGTTCTATTTGATATCAGGCAAAAACAAAGAAAGCATTCATAACCCTCATGTTCATTCAAACATTCAACATAGCAGCGCTACTCTGGGGGTTCATGAGTATCCCCACGTAACCAGCGATTGTCATTTAGTATGTCCATAAGCTAGGCAACTCATATCCATCAACAAAGTATTCCACATCTTTAAAGACAACATTCATAGCTATGTGTCAGCGAACCAATGTCCTCTCCTTGCTTTGTTTAAATTACCTTAAGTTTCTTCTTCTGATTTGAACTACGGTTTTTCTGAGAAAATACATATATATAAAGACATTGGTTTAGCGAAACACTCAATAGACTTTTGACAGATACTCCATTAAGACACGAGCATAATGTCAGGTACTTGGACATGCAAACACAACAGATCAAATATATATATATAGCGAGAGACATTTTGGAAACACGCAGCCGAGTTGCAGCCAATTCATTCTAAGCCAAATGTGCCTAAAAGTAGGCCTGCATAGCTTACAAGACAAGCATCCTTCAGAAACAGGCATACAAGTATCCAGGTTGCTTTGCACATCAGTGAGACGGTGAAATAAAAATAAAGAAATATATCACACAAAACCATTATTTGTGTACTGTACAGGTGTTTCCAGCAGAACATTTCCTAAACATTGCCACAAGATAGCAAATGATATCATGCTGTGGCAACATAGGCAAACAGCAAGAGCAAGACAATGAGACGATAACTCGAGCTGCTCTACAAGGCAGAAATTATGCATAGCAAATCAAAAATGATTTCCTTCAAGTAAAGTGACCGCTGCCAGGATTGTATTAGTGTGACAGGATTAAACATTTCAGATCAAAGGGCTAGCACAAGGGCAACTTTAATAATAGTGTACTTAACTGTATTGGATCTTCAAGGTATTGAATGTAAGATTGACATCATGTCGTTCAGCAGCATTATTGTCCATTACAGGCTGTCCAGTAAAGACTTTCCTTCTCTTTTACTGCACATGCTAATTTTATGCTTAAAAAATATGAATGACTGGTTTTGAAATATATTGTAATATGCTTAAGTTATATGTGTTATTTGAACCTGTTATTTGTAAAATTGCTTCACATGCTTTTATTCTAATGAACACAGGGCATCATTTTGTTTGTGAATTCCTTTTGGCGGCCGTTAACAAAAAGCATTACTTTTTACTGTGTTTTCAAGAAACTAAGGTCATGTTATCTTATGCCATACTTCTGCTGTGGCAAGACTTAAAATGGCATGTTGCATTTATTTTGTATTGTCTGCTCTAAAAATATATATGTGCTAAGAACATTGGTTCCATCCTTACACAGATCATAAGAGAGAGAATAATATCAACGTAAAGCTCTACTTGCGGTCTTTGCTAAATACGTACTGATACAGACCAGTAATAATTCATCAATGTTTTGACATGACATTGCAAACTTGAAGTTGAGGACATTTTAGACGTCTTTTTTTTCCAATGAGGAGCTGCGTGTTAATAGGAAGCAGATGTTATATTGGCTGTAAATAAATTGAATTTACTTCCATGGTTGCTTTTTTACATAGAGTTAATCTTACATGTTATACCTTGTTAAACTTTGCCTAGTCAAGTTCAGTAACACAGCACAATTCTCTACATGTTGTAGACCAGCTCAGCTTAAAGAAGGAAGGACTTGTGAGTGATCTAGCAAAGAGAAGCGCAGCAAGAGGCAGCTTCGTGCTCTATGTGGGTTAACAAAGGTATTTTAATGCACACACCTAGTGTTCTGTTACCATAGTTAGCACCCGGCCACCGAGAGGATGGACTGGAAGGGCTTTGATCACCTGCAACAATGTTGGTGATAAAAATAAAAAAAACAGAAAAACAAGAAGAAGGGAAGGATGGAGAAAAGGGGAAAGAGAAAAGGCCATCAGAGGTGACACATTGCAGATAAGGCAGGACATATCCACTCCCAGAGTTTTGTGAAAAACACATTTTCTTAAAAAGCTGCACACACATTTTCACACAGACATAGACTCAAGTTAAATCCAATCCCAAGAAAGAAAAAGATGTGAATAAAGTAGCTGGTTCTTTTTTAATGATAGGCAGCATTATAGGTGTTGGAATAAGAGTGAAGGGTGTGTGAGTAAGTGTCAGAATTATTTTTGATGAGGTTCATAATGAAGTTACATGATCTGTCATGCATTATATATTTAGATATGGTCTTAACAAAAACATTAACACATAATTATGTATCATAACTTGCATTACATTTCCCATGATCATAGCGTAAAGGGTTGTGACCCAGGCAGTGTTAGAAAAAGCCTGACAATATGTCCTGGCCTTGTCATCAAACAGGTAACTTCCCCCCCTTACTTATCTGTAAAGAATGATCTTCTTTATATCAATTCAAATGGACCATATATTGTACACCATCAGAACATATATCTTATTTGACTAATTCTGCTTATAATAACAATAGATAATCAGACATGACACTAATTGTCACTTTAAACAAAGAGTACATGACAGTGGATTTGCAATTGTGTAAATCCCAATTGTACATTTTGCCCACTAACCCTTTTATAATATATATTAGACAGAAAATGACTTGCTGAAGCTTAAAATGATATGTTTATTTGTATTGCTCGCTTTGCAGTGTGTAGCCTGTCTGTTGCAGACTCACTTTATCCAGCTATGGTCTGATTGTTCCCTCCTCTTTTTTTTCTACCATGATTGCAACTGTGGAAATGGCAGCACCTGTGGCTCTTCCACAGAACTATGACTTGCATATGAATTGACCCTGGCACCCCGACCAGGTGGAACTCCCCTGGGTAAAGGCCATTCGATGTGGCGAAATTACATGTTTTAACACCAGGATTACACTAAATCAACCTCGGTCCAACTGCAGCCAGCATGGCTATATTATCATAAGTGCTTTATGAATGGCAAAGGGACAATACTTTGCTAATGACCTGCACAGGGCCACACATGTACTTGTTTCTGTGATAGCTTTTCTTCATTGTACATATGTTACTGTTTAATGTGTGTACCAATCATGAATCCTTGGAACCAGACAAAAGACATAGGACTACACACTAAGTATATAAAAACTGTAGAGCAAAGATTGTTGCATGTGACAAAAAGGAAACTATTAACAACTAGAAGGGTCAGGTGGTCCTTTCTGCACACAGGTGAGAGTATAAATTGGCACATACCATTTCGCGGTGTCCTTTTTCTCCGATCACGGAAGGCAGCTCCGGACTGCAGGGCCTCCATTAGGCTATCCATTACACCAGTCTCATCTCCCTCTGTAAGAGAACATATGATAGAGGCAAACATGTTTAATGTACAAATGCACACACACACACGACTGGTCTAAATGTAGGTATTCTGGAGTGGAAACAATGGATGCCCTCTAACTAAAGTTGCATAAACAATCACCTTACATCAAAGCAAGAGTGAGCTGAATGAATAAACAAGTCTTTTATAGAGCACAGGCCTGAGTGAGACAGAGGCCTGTCACTCAGGCCTGTCTTTTTTTTTTTCAGTAAACAGTTTTAGAGGAGGAAAAATACACTTAAACTTTAGCAACTAATACAGGCAGAGGAGCCTCAAGATGAAAGCATCCACTGATGGTCATTGACAGATATTCTTTCTGTGGCTAACGCAGGGGAGCTAAGTGCTCTTTACAAAGATTTAGTGGGGAGCCGCTCGATACCCGGGCGCTCTATCATTGTTCAGTCAATGACACCAGGACCGGCCTTCGAAAAACATTCCCCCTGCCCACGGTTTTAGCTGTCGTGTGGATCCATAGAACTAGACAATTGGAGGCAGTTGGCCTGCATGGTGAAAAGACAGGTAGGAGACACGTAAAGTGCTATGAGGCCAACAGCATGACAAGTTGTGCCCACACTGCACATGCAGCATACGGAAAGAGAGTTCAAAAATAAGCTTAGGTTCCATATCTGGGTCATCTATCTTTACGCCCCAATACTAATGAGTCAGAGGGACACCCTTTTTATCATTGTGGTCCAGAACAGACATTATTTTAAACTAGGATCATTAGGGTGACTTATTGTGGAGCTGGAGACTTGGCCATCAATTATTTTCCATACATGAGTGAACTAGCTCTTCCCTATGTTTACCATCGGAGTCCAGGCATCTTGTTTTTGTACTGGGATAAGAGCTAGAGCAGAAGGGTAATATTCAAAAATAAGTGGAGACAACTGCTACTTTCAGCACAAAGCACTTTTTCAGACACTGTGGTGATCAATCTTTTGTTATTCTCGTGTTCCCGAAAAGACACGACACTCAGCCAAATTGAATTTATGAACAAAACACGTTGACACAGAATGCTACACGATTAATATAAGGAAATGGCACAAATTTTGCCATTATCAGAGAAAGTAGGGCCTGCTTATGCTTTCACCTTCTCCTCCAGCAACAAACCAACCAACCTGCAATCATTGATGCAAGTGAACGAAGATAGAACAACTAAGAATAGAAACACATTCTTATGCAAATTTAAAAAAAAGCAACTCTTCACTCATACTCACACACATTTCTGTCTATATCTCATTCCTTGTCTTTCTTCCTCAAGTCCTTCCCAAGGGCTACTTATAAATCAAAGTGTATGTTCCGGCTGTGTGCTGTGCTTAAAAGCAATTCCGATTAAATCAAGCTTAATTAGACCAGCTTTATCAGAACAAAACCAAAGCTGAGCCAAGTAGTGCTTATCTCAAATTGCAGCACTACACCTTAGATAACAAGCTCCTTGGTTTAAAAAGGGGGAGCATGGCTTTTGTCTACTGTGGACCCAGGTGAACAACTTGCAGCTTCTATAACTGTATCAACTCCAACATCTCTAGCTATCTTCTTCTTATGTAGGCTAGCAAGGACACATGGTTTGTCTGACAGAAGGTAGAACGTGTTAAGTGGCAGGTAAACATTTATCTACAACCACCTTGGCACAATAAACTTTCTGACAGCCCCTTCTTCATGGAGACCTAGACATCACAGGGGGCACCTGACACTTTGATCAATTTGTCCTACTTCTAGCTTAACTGTAGCACAATTCATCATTTGTAATGGCCAGGACTTGGGAGCGGTAGTAGACTGGGGTTCAGAGAGAGGAATGCAGACACAAAGAACCACAATGACTAAAATGGGAAACATACTCCCAAGTCACTCCACGGTGCTCAATTAACTAGGTCCTATTGGACCAGAGCTTCAACTCGAGCCGACCACTCAAAGCAAGAAATTGTCACAAATGAGCTTTCACACGATATGAACTTATTCATATAGTCCTATATATGCATTTAAGTGCCTTTATTTAACAAAGACAAGGGAGCCCTTAGTTGAAAAATAAATCAAACTGAATATTATTTAACTAGACTTATTCCAGTAATCCTCAGAGCAAACATTCTTCATCATTTATTGTATTGCATTGCCCACTTTAGTAGACATTTTTGCCTCATTCCTGCAATTTACTCTTGTCTTATTTTGAGCTGTTAAACTTAGGGCAAATATTCAACCGCTACTCATTAGCACCAGTGGTAGATTGCATGCTGGGGAATTACAGGAAAGCTAACCTTTTATTCCCAAAGATCTTTCTCAAGAGGAAAGATCCCCTTTGCTCACAGGAAATTGCTTTCTAAATGGGTTAAGATGGGCTAAGACCCAAGACATTCACAAACCCTTCCAGTGATGAAACACCTTGGTGGGCACCTCAACAGACAGCCCCGGGGTCCTTTAATGATCTTATTAAAGCTTGTGGAAGTGCTTAACATGGTTGCGGCTTTTGCACTTTTAGGTACTTTCTTAAATAGTTAAACCTTTAAGAGCTGAAATAAAGCTATGTGAAACTTTACCTCCCAGAGAGAGATGGTGTACCTATTCCATATCTTTCCCTTTGATCCATGACAACATCCAGTCTCTCATTCACCCTCTCCTATACCTGAATACCAGGTGGTACCTTGACCCAGAGGCTGTGCCAAATGTGACAATGAGCCCTAGGGATTGGCTCACTCTGCTGTATATTTACAAGAGGTACTATCACATGTTCTAATTAGGAGGCATAACAAGAGCAATGTGCTCTCAGCAGGATGGGCATGAAAGAAAACCAGATTTGTTTTCCTAATAAAAAAAATAAAAAATACAGTCAAAAGGGAAGAAAATGGCTGCAATGTACCATTCATCAACCCTAGCAGCTGAACACAAAGTGGAGTGTCAACAGTTGTAAATGTAAGTATAGGAAAGGAATACGTAAATATATTGTAAGTGTGACTATCAGAGAGGAAGATGTAGAGGATATAATGAGAGAGGAGGAAGAATATAGGGAGAAAGACAGCGCCAGGGAGGCAGCGAGTGAACAGGGTTTCTCCTAGTGTGCTTGGTGGAGTGGGTTATTGAGAGAGACTAGTGGAGCGAGGTAAGACACAAGGTGGTAAAACACCTTCCTGGATACTTGACGGCCTGAGCCGTATGACATTTAATTATTCCTAAAACATATACTGCAGTATGCACGGACAGGCACACATAACCTTGCCTCTGCTTTTAAAACCTGCCTATACATTTGAAGAGGTTCGGATGCATGTTCTGTATTTGTAAGTCTATTGGTTCGACTGTATCATTTATGGGACATCATTTTCAGCTGACGGATTAGTTTTTGACAAACAAAGACAGTTAGGCTTGACGAACGTGAGGCGGATAGAAAGTGTACTCGACTAATGTTAGATTCAAGATGACCTATACTCATGGCTGATCACGGCAAGATCGTTTAGAGGAGACAAAGGAATCTAGCCAAGTCTTTCAGAAAACCAATGCATCAGGAAGCCTCCATATACAACGCTTGAACCTCAGTCGAGTACCATTTAGGAATCAATCAAACAAGCTACATTTATGCAAAACCTGACATCTCATTTGTTTATTTATACTAATTAAAAAACAAGTACATAACTGTGAAGTAAAAGAACAGCTGTTGCCTCGAAAATGTGTCAAAAGCATTTCAATCATCCAAGCAGAAAACATTGTATGTATTAGACTAAAATGCTGGGCTTTTTTTTAAAAACACCAAAGGCATGGCATTCCTATAATTATGCAGCAGTGTCAACAAAGCCTGTTCATAAATTCAATTTGCTATCTGTCATCTCCTGCATGTTGCGCAGGGGAGAAAAAACACAGTGGATCGATTGAGAACTACATTTCTGATGGCTCGCATGCAGCCTTCGTGATTCATGGGGGAAAAGAGAGACAAATAAGTTTTCGAATTCTAAAAAGCTTGTGTCTGGTACGTGTGGGTTTCTAATATATCGGCAAATGATGACATCCCTTATACCACAAGCGAAAATGGTAACAACAGTGGCATGTTAATTGGATGGATAAATAACAGTACGAGCATACGAAGTAATGACATTTGTCAAAGTCACATATTTTAATCAATCACAGCTACATATCATCTGAATGTATTAAAGCAAAGCACTCTGCTTCCTAAACAAATGAAAGTGTTTGACATAAGGAAAATCAGGGATAAGATATATGTCTCTTATCCGCTTCTATCTACTATCCTTCCAGTAGCCAATCCCTGAGTCTAATTTGCACTGTAATGAGATCTAATGAGTGCTTACAAGCCTTGTCCTTGATGAAAAAAAAACACTGGAAGAGAGGAAAACAGTAAGAGGTTAACCTCACCCCAGTCGCCCCCCATGACTCCAGGAGAGTATATGAGAAAGAAACGGATGAATAAAGAGCAGAGGAAGTGTTTGCTTGATGCAGACTGTTTTTGAACACATTTGAGCCCATCTGTTCCCCTACTGAGAGTCACCTGTGCAATTAACCTGGACCATTAGCCGTGAAACAAAAACCTCATGGAGGGGGGGTTGTTGCTTTATGGCCAGGTGGAGAGGCAACAAATACACGTTCTTTTAATCTTGCCTCCCTCTCTCCACTCTAGCACCTGGTTTTGTGTTACTTTCACATCTGAATTCAGGCTCAGTCCTCTAGACCTACACAACCACCTGCATTACTCAATTCCCCCCTCCTCTACTCTCTCACTGTCTGGCTTTGAGGGGAGTCACCCCCCTCCCTTCACCCTGCTTACCTGCAGACCCAGCCAGACAGAGACCATTACTGCCACAGAGAGCAAAGAAAACACAAGTGCCGGAAGGACAGCAGTCGTGCACCTGTTAGGTGTCCTTGTTTTTCACTCTCTCCTTTTGATTCCATCGCCCTGCAGTCCAACCAACAAACTCTTACAAAAGCTTTGACACAATGACCCTGGAAACTTTTCAGACATGCCACTGCCTTTAAA